TCGGATGCAGTCAAGAAATACTTCGCTTAGGATGAAAACCCGAGAGGGCGTCCTAAGTCGAAAAGACAAAGATGAAAAAAAACAAAAAAAAAAACAAAAAAACTGAAAGAAAAAGCAAAGGACGTTTAGGGTGAAAACCCGAAAGGGCGCCCTAAATAGAAAAAAGAACAAAAAGAAAAGAAAAAACAAGGTGGGTTCAAGATGAAAACCCGCAAAGGGCGTATTGCAACTAAGGACGGGTCCGAATGGAAAACCCGAAAGGGCGATTTGGATATTAACTCAAGAAATCCATACAGTGGAAATATCCCGGCATCTGAATCTTCTACCAGTCTCAGCAAGTCGGAGGAAGGTTGTACTCTCCTAGACATTGTCACATTTTCAAAGACCTTTTGGCAAAGGCTGCATTCAAGGTCACCTAACGGCTTTTTCAGCTCAGAAGTGCCCATATTATCGAGATCTAAGACATTCATTTACGCCTCATCATTTCCCAGAATGTTTGTCATGAATTGTTTGTTCTTTTTTCCATGAATAAAAGACAATCTTTTTCTCTAAACCAATTCCTTTTGAGCATCTTGGATTGAGCTTAAACTTAATGATTATTTACTTTTGCAAAAGATAGTCGCATATTACTGTACAAAGATTCATTGAAAAGTACAGGTACTTGGAAGCCAATCAAGGCTCAGGCACATACTCGGGATGGCCGAGCAGCATTTCTCAAGTCAAAAATAGAATGTGCACGTCTGTTTTGAACATTTGAAGAACTCAGAACTCGAAGATTCCAGAATCAAGGCTCCAGAAAAACAACCGGAGATTGAGATTTCCCTTCGGAACCCAAAAATAACACATGTTGCATATGCATTTTAGGCATGGCATCCATCTTATCACACATGCATAATTTCTTCAGGTTTTTAGCTAGAGTCAATTTCAACTTCGCAACGAAGGATATTGAGCTCAAAGCTACACAATCAACTCGAGAGCAGATTTCAACTTCATGACGAAGGGTATCTAGCTCAAGACCAAATTTCACGATAGAAGGGTCCCCACGGTTTCGACTTCACGGTGAAGGGAATCATGTCCACCCGCCACATACAATACTTGGATTTCAACTTCACGGCGAAGGATATTCAAGTCAAGGCTCAACTTCACGACGAAGGGGCCATCAGCGATTTCAACTCCACGACGGAGGATATCGTTCCACTCAAGACAACACAAGTTCAACTTCACAACGAAGGGGCCGCTGGTTGTCAACAAAATTTGCCAGTGTCAGACAACACAAGTTCAACTTCACAACGAAGGGGCCACTGGTTGTCAACAAAATTTCCCAGTTTAAGATAGCACAAGTTCAACTTCACAACGAAGGGGCCGCTGGCTGTCAACAAACAACTTCCCAATGTCAGAGCCAATTTCAACTTCACAGCGAAGGATATTAGACTCGAGACAACACAAGTTCAACTTCACAACGAAGGGGCCGCTGGTTGTCAACAAACACTTTCCAGTTTCAGAGTCAATTTCAACTTCACGGCGAAGGATATTGGCCTCGAAACAACGCAACTTGCATTGGATTTCAACCTCACGACGAGGGATATCCAATTCTCAGGCTCAACTTCACGACGAAGGAGCCATATATAATTCCAACTTCACAAACAGATTGACCCAACTTCACGACGAAGGAGTCATCTGTAACACCACAACACCACAGTCTTCAGATCAAGGGTCACATTCACGACGAAGTACCTTGAACCAGAAGATGATTCAGAGGCCACTTGCCAAGAGCTCCGAGTTCAATTTCGACTTCACAATGAAGGATTTCCGGGCTCAGTTTGAACTCAACCTCACAACGATGAGGTCATTTTGTGATTGACAAACCAGTCTTACATCGGATTTTAACTCTACGACAGAGGACATTCGATATGGATGAAATTTGTGTCTATTAATCTTTACTCCATTTTCGTTACACGATAATAAGCAAAGAGGGGCAGCTGTAGACACCCCTCATTTCATCCATTCATTCGTTATATATATATATATATATATAATAAACATATATTATTATTTATTTATTTATTTATTATTTCACATTTTCAGGCCCCAAATACAAGCCCAAGTCCCACGTGACCTGATACACCCCAGCCGCCCACCGTGTAAAACCCTAGCTCTCGTTTCAGCAACCAGCGCCGCATGGAGTCTTGGCCAAGAGTCCCACGCCTCACGACTTCCTCTACGGATTTCACAGCCACACGCCCCCCACTCCGAGCCGTTCGGTGCAAGGTTATCCCGAAGTCACCCACAACCAACAAACAACCAAACAACCAAGTTAGAGTCATAATAGGAATGAAATACTTAAAATTCTAGGCTATAAATATTCAATGTAATCACACAGTAAAAAGGGGGGATTTACACTGGATTCAACCACGAGATCACTGTGTAACAAGCACTCCCACACAATAGCCAAGAAGATCCAAACCTTTGTAAAGATTTTCGAAAGAGATAATAAAAAGGTAGCATTTTTTTCTTTCTTACCTTTGTTTATTCGGTTTCTTGCTTTGCATGTTGTATTTCCTGTATTATTTGGTGCGGATCGAACTCACAAGTCGCTTTTTGGCCGATGAAAGGGGTTTTCGTTCAAAGATTATTTTTGTAGATCTACGAAAACCCGAGGCCTTTTTGAAAAACAACAACTTGATTTTCAAAACGAGGAGGAGAAAAGCTCCTGGAAAATAATTTTTTTTTGTGGTTTTGCCGCCGATGAACGGCGGCCGTCGCCGTTCAACGGCGACGGTGAGGCGGAGCAACCGCCGATTTCTGGGAAATGTGGCGCTTGTTCTTCATTCTTGAAGAACAAGGCAGAGAAAAGAGAGATGGGGAGGAGTCTTCGTTTTTTTAGAGGAGAGAAATGAGGATCAAGGCCAAAACGTTGGCTTATATACTGACCTGAGCGGTGACCCGCGTGTCGACCCTGACCCGGGGAGGATCCGCGGGTTCCTGAGGCAATTAGGGTAAACCACTCTTTTGGTCATTCATTCCTTAGAGGTCTATAATTTCGATCCCAAATCCGATTTTTAAATCACGATTCTCTTTTAAATTGGCTACTCGATTTGCTTTTCTTATTGTTTTAATCCTTATTATTTATATATGTATAATTATATTTTTATATCTATTTACTATATTTTTTTATTTATTCATGTAATATTATTTTCTTTCCCATTACATATATATTTTATACCATTTTTTTCTTATGCATATAAATGTAGATGTTTTTTTTTTATTTTCATTTTATTTTGTTGCCTATTATTATTTTATTTGAATATATATATTTCGTTTAATCTTTTTCCATTTTTTATATATCGTAATATATATATATTTTATTTATTTATTTATTTGTATTTTATTTTCCTAATGTCTCTATATATATATGCATTTCTTGTGTACTTTTGATTAATTTCATATTATATATATATATATATATATGTAACCTAACTAATTTGTCCATTCTAAGTTTTTCTTCTTCCTAGGCTCTTGGTTTCCTAACCTCCCCTTCACTATGTCTTTCCCGTTGATGACATAGGGGCCCATTATCTTGTTTTTCTTATTCTCTTTCCTTTTTTGTTTTTCATCATGTTTTATATGTATATAAATATCTTATTCTAACTTATCTTTTAAACCCCACATGCATATTTTCTTTTCATTCCCCCCTTCATTTTGTTTTGTTTTATATTCATTTATTTTATTATTCCGTTCTGTTTTATTATTTTATTTTACTTTGCTTCCTTTTATTATTTTATTTCTTAACCATTTTCGGGGATTTATTTGTTTCATTATTTGTGGTCCTTTTATGGCTAAATCTCGTATTTAGCATGTTTTTTTTGCGTTAATAAACTTGTTTTCTTTGCATTATTTTTGTTCCTCCTAATTATTATTATCTTTCATGAATTTTGATATGCACATTTTATCTTTATTTCAATTAATTCCTCATCGTATACATTCTTTGAAACATTGTAATTTAACCCTTTTCTATTTTTTTGGTTCGACCTTTTTATCTAACATTTTATTATCAAAGGGCACAATTTAAGCAATCTACGGTAAGTAACTCGGATCGATATTTTACCTTTTAATTTAAATTACAATTTTCTTAATTTAAGACAACTGGAAATTATGTAGTACCGAAAGGGCAGTTCAAGGGTGCTAATCCTTCCTTGACTGTAACCGACTCCCGAATCCGACATATCTTTGGTAAGACGCAGATCAGGTAAGAAATAAGGTATCCGGTTAACCTATTTATTTTTAAATAAATAATCGGTGGCGACTCCAATCTATTTTCCACATTTTTCTAAGTCAAAGCCCGATTCCGGGAACCAACCGAAAGACGGTTGCAACATAAGTGACTATTGTTTATTTTTTTAATCTTTTTATTTTTTTAATAATAAAAATATTATTTTTAAAAGATAAAAAAAATCAACCTCAACCCATTCCTTTGTCTCCCTCCCTCCACGGTTGCAAATTATTTTTGACCATTATCGTCATCGCCGAATGATTGAGTTTTGAGCGGAATTACATGGTGGTTCGAATGATGGTGGCGATGTGGTTTATAGACCTAGAAATCAGTCGAAATCAATGAAAAACAGAGACTATAGTTTAAAATTTGACAAACCTTTAAATGCTTCTCCATGATAAATTACGTCAGTTTAGAACAAAAAATCAACAGAAATTTAATCAGGAGTCAACACCGATACTAATGACGTTGGCACTAACAATCACGATCGATTAGCTGACAGACGGTAGAAGGGGGAAAGAGAGAAAGGGAGAAGGGGAAGGGAGCCCGTGGGAGGGGGCTATTTTCTTTAATAAATTTATTTTTATTTTTAAAAAATAAATTTCTAAAATAACCATAACGTGACACAAGGAACATAATAGAGATATTTAACTACGGTTACGCGGTTTTAATTTTTCCGTCATTGAACGTTGTGATCAATGAGTGAGTAGTGTGATAAACCCAACCCTAGAGGAAGCGGTAGAGGGAAAGAATATAAAAGAAAAATAAGGAGAAAACAAAGCTCCCGAAAACCTTAAACCTTGGCCAGCAGCTGAGAAGAAAGATGAAGAAAACCCAGAAAGCAAACAAAGATAAAGAAGAAACCGCGAGTAACAAATCAAACACCAAAACCCAAACCAAGGAATCGGAGATATTCGCTTCGTGTTCCTTCTCCAGCCTTGGCCTCCTCTCCACTCTCTCTGACCAGCTACGAGGTTGCCTCCCTCTGTTTTTGTTTTACAGACATGTTACTTATGATTGTCTTTCTAATTGATTTTACATTCTAACCCTTTAAACTCTCGTGTTCTGAAAAAAAAACCTATTTCTTCTTAAACAGAAAGGTTGGGTTTTGAATCTCCAACTCATATCCAAGCTCAAGCTATTCCTGTTATACTCTCTGGTCGTCATGTGTATCCTTCACTTCTCTATTTTTGTACTGTTTTGTTAAGCTCTCTCATTCACACACACACTGTTGGGTTGTTTTCTTTATCGATTTTGGTGTTATCTTTAATTTGTAATTGGGCTTGTTGTGTTGCAAGTTTTCCTGTTTCCTGAATCGGGGGTTGTTTTTAGCCCTTTTTAATACAAGTTGTATTCTGCTCAATTGCTTTGTTGTTTCTGTTATCTTTAATTCAAGGTTTTGTGTTTTTTGTTTCTCTTTTTAGTATTTGCTACTACCACTTTTGCCTCATGATTGTCTATTTAGCATTTATAAGTCGGAAGTTTTCTTCTATTCAAAATTGGATTTTTTAGTTCACGTTTTCTAGTCCCCCCCCCCCCCCCCGCCCTTCTTTTAAGTGATTTTGGGATCCTTGATTGGAGATTGTATTAGACTTGTTAATGCAGAAACGGGTTCTGGAAAAACAATCGCATATTTGGCTCCTATAGTTCATCACTTGCAGGGTTACAGTCCCCGGATTGAGCGGTCTCATGGTACTTTGGTATGTTTTATGCTTTTAACGGGATGTGTTATCATACTTATTGTTTTTGAAAGTCTATAATGTTTGTTTCCATTGCCATGTGAAATTTTGTTGCTCACTCACAGGGAGCTGAAATCAGATCTTGGAGAGGTTTAATTGTTGTTGGCCTATGTTTTAGAATGAATGAGTAAAATATTTCTGTTCTGTTTGTTTAAGCATGAATAAATAAAATTTGATATGTTTGTGTTAGCGTTGGTCCTTGTACCGACGCGTGAGTTATGCTTGCAGGTTTATGAAATTCTGCAGACTTTATTGCATCGTTTTCATTGGATTGTTCCCGGTTATGTAATGGGTGGTGAAAACAGGAATAAAGAGAAAGCCAGGCTGCGAAAAGGTAATTTTATTTTTCTTTGTTTTGCTGAACTCCTCAGTTTCAGAAAGCTTGTAGTTCATGTTCCCACAAATTCAATTTGGTAGACCTATGAATGTGTGTCCAGTGTCTTAATATCGACTGGTCATTTCAGATGTTCCTTATAATTGTTTTTTTATCTTTTAATCTTTAAATTTAGTTCATGAATGTTTCATATGATTCATTTCAGGCATTTCTATCCTTATTGCAACTCCTGGACGGCTGTTGGATCACTTAAAAAACACGTCATCTTTCATGCACACAAATATGCGGTGGATTATCTTCGATGAAGCAGACAGGTTTGGCGTGATGTCTAAGGTTTCATATGAGTGGATCTTAACTTTCTGTTTCATATAAATCTTTACCTGACTGCATATCCTGACAGAATTCTGGAGTTGGGATTTGGCAAAGATATTGAAGAGATATTGGATCTGTTGGGTTCTAGGGAAAACGAATCTGTTGGAAAGGGAAAATCCTCAGAATTTCAAAGGCAGAATTTGCTATTATCAGCTACATTAAATGAAAAAGTAAACCATCTTGCCAAAATTAGTTTAGAAAATCCTGTAATGATTGGTCTTGACAACATGAAGACACAACCAGATTCGTCAGTTAACCAAACGGGATCCTTGAGTTCTGATGTAGATGAGGACCTCGATTACTCAGGCAACTTTGTAAATTCTTCAAGTGGGGATTATAAGCTTCCAGCTCAATTAGTTCAGAGATATGTTAAAGGTATACATTTTCTGAATGCTCTCTTTCTTTCTCTCTGGTTTGTTGACCTTGCTGAGCTTTGATATACGTGACTATTGAAACCTTTTACAGTGCCGTGTGGTTCAAGGCTTTCTGTACTGCTTTCTATTCTAAAACATCTTTTCGACAGAGAAGCTTCCCAAAAGGTAATGTAATAGTATAATATTGTTAGATTTTGTTTCCTACAACATTTTTTAAGATATTATTCACTGAATCAAAATGGCAAGTAGAAGATGCGAGTTTCCATGCATAAAATTTAGTCAATTTTATATTGATTATATTCGTGACCTTGCATCAGAGGATTCCTTTAGTTTGTATTTCCTGAATAACTGCAATTAGAGAGTGGAAATTCGTGTGCTTACTGCCTATACTGTTTATAGTACCTTGTTCAAGTGTAAAGGATTTGTTCATTGCCTCTGTTGTCTTTACTTTGCTGCTGAAAGTTACTTCTAATAACATATTTTAACTATTTTATACTTGTTCGATTAATTAATTCAAATGATCATTCTGCAGGTTGTGGTATTCTTTTCAACTTGTGATGCAGTGGATTTTCACTATATGCTGTTGAGTGAATTCCAGTGGTCACCCTACTCGCAATTTGACGAAGAACATAAGCAGATGTTTCTGAAATGCAAAACTTTTAGGTTACATGGGAATATGAAGCAAGAAGATAGAAGAACCACTTTCAGTGCCTTTAAAACAGAAAAGTCGGCTCTTCTTGTCTCTACGGATGTTGCTGCTAGGGGCTTAGATTTTCCAAAAGTTAGATGTATCATACAGTATGATTCACCAGGGGAGGCCACTGAATATGTGCATAGGTATTTAGAGGCTATTTTCTTGGAAGTATCTCTCTATTCTGCTAGTTCACAGCATTATTTACTTGGCATGTTTTTGATTTGTCTTGATCGATTTTGACCGTAATCTTATTTCTTCTGTGTATTTGGAGTCTACAAACCTTTACTTGCTGTTCGAAGTTTGATTAGCTTCTAAGTCCTCATTTATGCACATCTCCTCTGAGCAAGAGCATTATAAAGAAATTTTAGCATGGATGCTTCTTGTTGAACAAATTTCTAACTGCTTATTTGTGAATTCTTGTCTTGATTAGTTTAACAGTCTAACTTGTTTTCTAATGGGTTGTGCTACTACCTTTTGAGCATATTAGATGAGCCGACATGTGTCATGGTCGCATGTTCAAATTCTTGTGGAACTAATGTATATGGTCAATCAAAGCTTAAAGCTACCTTTGATCTATGATGCAGAGTAGGTAGGACGGCTCGATTGGGTGAAAGAGGAGAGTCCTTGCTATTTCTACAGCCAATAGAAGCAGATTACTTGGAAGACCTCGAGAAACATGGTGTCACACTAACGGAGTATCCACTCATCAAAATATTAGATTCTTTCCCATTGCACGGTCAAATGCACCGTGTCAAGAAGTTTGTTTCTTTAGAATCACATCCGTGGGTTGTATCACTTCAGAAGGAGCTTGAATCATATATTTCAGCAGAGGTATGATTTATGCATATGGATCCTAATTTAGCCCCTATATTTTTGTGAACTATTTGTTTGTCCTCCTTTCCTCACTGCCTTCGAATTTGTTTGATTTTGAAAGATGATTTTAGGTCTTTATCTGCTTCAAAATAATGTTTTCCCTGGTGTTGTTTTCACAGCCAAAGATTAAGAAAGTGGCAAAGGATGCTTTTTGCTCTTGGGTTCGTGCATACACGGCGCATCGTGGAGACCTGAAACAAATTTTCATGGTGAAGAAACTTCATTTGGGACATGTTGCAAAAAGTTTTGCATTAAGAGAGCAGCCATCCTTGGTTGGGAAAACATTCCAAAACCAAACGAAAAAGAGGAAGAGGGATATGAAGCAGAAGCAGAAAGGTGTATTCAAGAAGAGGAAAGTTGCCAGTAAAACATGAATTATACAATGCAAATCTCATTATTAGAGCATATTTGTGCTTCTCTTCACAGTTTTTATAGAACTGATGAATTGCTTGTATTATTATTTAACTGTCATGTAATCCCTTTATAAAGCATCGTTATTTTTCTTGTTCAAAGTAATAGAATGATAATTTATGAGTTAGTTTTTTTTCTTCATGAAAATTGGGTCATTGAACTTGAACGATGATATACGACGCTTGAAGTATGTTTCAAATGATTAATTTTCTGCCTCTGCATGTTGTAAATATATAAAAAAAAATATCATTTGTTGCCTAAAGTTTGAATCTTTACATCCGCAAGCATTTCTTTTTATACCAGGTCAAGGTTCACTTTGAATTCTGATAAAATGACGGACTATGAGGAGGGAGAATCATATGAGATGCAAAAAAGGCGACATCATAAGCATGCTAGATGAACTCTGAAATCTGTTGGGATATGGGACGAAAAACGCTCGCTATTCTCTTTTATCCTCCTCGAGCTCTTCGCCGAGCCTGAATATATCAGCATTTGATGCCTTCCTTTCCTTCCTTTCCAGCTTAACTGTCGATTCTCCGGCCAATAAAACACCACTGCTAGTGAGTGATATACCCTCCTCTTCAAGCTCATCGCCCGTCTCCTCGCTATATACATATCTGAAAAATACAACAATTTAACTATTATGATGAAGCATGGTTATATACACATATTAAGTATATTAAAATGGCCAATCTTACAAGCACCATTGTCAAGCCACAAGCTTGAAGTGTAGAGAATGTGAAACCTACTCTGGTCGAGTACCATAACGATGATATTCTAGATGCAAACAGTGACTCGGGATTTTCTAAAAGATTGCTCTAGAGCATTTGAAGTGAAGCTGACTAGCTCGAGTAAGTCCCTGATTCCATGTAATTTGCCTAATGCAGTACGCCTCGATAGATGCTCGTATAATATGAAAAGAAACTGCTCATGCTTAATAAAACAAATAAACCCTGAGATTGGTTCATATAAATCCAACTCCTACTCCTTTTAGTAGGTGGATTCCCACAAGGCCGGGATTCGATCCCCAGCACTTGCAACCCCAGATCCAAATACAATAAAGCATCCACACTTCTACCAGATCTCTAGGCATTGTCCTTTCGAAGAACAACATGAAAACAATTCTCATCACCAAATGAACTGCACATAAATCTCTAATTGCCAAGCTCTACCTAATAAAGAAAGTTCGAGTTTCCATTTTCCAGGGATTACCTTGTCGTATTGTTCGATGGAGCCCAAAGACTGCATATTACCACCAAAAGTACAAACGCAAGCAGATTCCAGAAAGCTGGGATAATCCATGCCCTTTGCCACAGTTCACTTAATGGGTCAGCTGCATTAAAGTACAACTGAACAACGAAGCTTGATTAGATGAATACACCTATGCTCTATATGGAAAATATAATCTGATAGTTATTTGAATGTTCAGAGCTATACAACAGTACGAATGATGGTTAAAAGGAGTTGGAAAATGGAGAATTTTAGATCCATACGATCCAAGAGTAACTAGCTTTCTTCTAAACATGGACTTGAGAGTCGAGGAGGATAAAAGACATAAAACAATGAAGCAAACTTGTATATGATGGCAGAGAAGTATATTAAACAACCTCATAACCAACCCAAGCAATGGAGAGCAGAACTGATATTGCTAGTGTATTGGTAAACCTCCGGTAGAGCGCAAACTTGGCCATGCTTCTTCTAATCTGTACAGAAAGAAAATGAATAAACCCTTTCAAATTTTAAATCAACCAAATATACCAGATTCATAAATGAAAGTTAATAAATCTTCCCTATGTTGCTAAAGCACAGCTGCAAGCTATTATCACTATTGCCTAAAACAAGTAAAAAACGTAATTTACAATCATCGATATGCAGAAAGGATTCACATATTGACCTTTCACCAAACAAGTCCACAAGAGAATATGAGCGAGGAGTTTTATTTAAGTTACATTTATAGCACCGCAAAATCAAGGTTTACATGCAATATAAGAGGAAAATATGGCATCTGCTAAGATCTAGTGTGTTACGAAACTAAAAGAACATATTAAGGGACATTCCAAGCTATTTTCTATGGGGTTATAATAAAAAAAAAGAGATGCATGGTGCTACCTGAAGCTTCTCTAGAGTTTGGGACAATGCAGAAAAGATCCAAATTATGAAGCAAGCATCCAACAGAGAAACAGGTAGAACCAGAAATAGCCTTGCTTTTCCAGTTAAGTCATTGATATTCCCCAGATTTTCAACCAACCCAAGTGCTTCTGAAAAGAAAAAGTAGGTCAGACCAAGGAGGAGAACTTTGAAGATTACACCTCCAAGGGTCGGTCGCACAACACCATAGCCCATCGAAACCACTAATAGTAGTAGACGGGAGACGGTCTTCTTAACAGCAGTGAAGGTAACAGCCCAAAGTGTGATTCCCATCGGTCTGCTTCCGGTTGAATTAAAATTTGCATACTCAAAATACCATAGAGCCATTTCACACATCCCCAGTCCAATCACTGCTGTAATGTGGTACTGCAGTTGAATTATATCTTTCCAGTATTGGACAGACCACAAAAACCAGACAAGACCAAGGCCAAGGTATGCTAGAGACATTAGGCCGAAAAATGTCATTAGGGGTGCCATCTTTCCCGGAAGATAACCTCCAGGATTTCTCCAGACAGTTCTTCCACTGATCGTCGTGCCCATGAGTTCCGGATCGCAAAACATGAAATACAAATAGTACATCCCAGTACGATTGATCTCAACTGTTTGTAGCACCATGGTAGTCTCCTCATTTTTTCCTTCGAAGAAGGTTTGTATTCGTTGTGGACTATACGGGTGATTTGGATCTTCGTGGATGATCACCTCCCCTACATTGCACGATCCTTCCTTAGACAGATCGGGAGTGCAACATATTGCGGCAGAATGCAAATATGAACCTCCAATATTCTCCCGGTCTTTTACCTCAACTATTATAGCCTCAACCAATCCAGTTTTTTGCTGCATATCATTCTTCTTTTCAGCAGACTCTTTCGTTCTTCGAAAGATGATTGACTCAAACCTGAAAACAACAATACCATCAAAGGTACAAGAGAAGTTCCAGAATTGTTTAATTTGTGTCAAAGAAATAAAACATCTATGCGAGTACATGATACATGGACTCATTATCAACACAAAAAATTAAAACCCGAAACATGATTCAAGTACAAAAAAGCTACCACTTTTTTAGTTTACAATTATCCCACCATATCATTTATGGTAATTTGTATCCATTAAAAACATAATCTAATCATGAAATGAGCAACCCACTTTACTCAAGAAAAGGGGGAAATCCACCGAAATTGATGATATTATTAACATTGTTCAAATCAGTTTAAAAAACATTAACCTAATGATCGTCATTGAAACTAAGAAAGAAAAACAGATCAAGAAAAAAAGGAAAAAAACGCAATGATGACCTGATAAAAGATTTGCCATTGAGATGATTTTCCTCAGGCGAAGGCTTTTTGTTGGGATCAACATGAAGCTTGGAAGCGTAAAGGCCTTCACTTCCGCCATGGAAGAAGAAGGAATTAGAACGGCGGAAAAAGCTTTGGTTTTGGTATTCATGGATGGAAGCATCCACTTGGATTATGGAGAAGCAGCTCAAATATATTAATGCTACAAATGCGACTTTCTGGAAATACCCATTTCCAATCAGATCATAAGATAAACAAATGAATTCTCTGGCGTTGTCCACCATATCTCAATCTCTCTGTCTCACACACTCTTTTTTCCTCTTTTTCAGTTCTGTTATGTCCTTTTTTTGCTTTTGTTTTGTTTTGTCTGTTTCTGTTTTATTTTTTTTGTTTGGACAAAAAATGTAATAAAATATATCTTATTTTCATAATGTTTGACCAGCAATAATAATATTTTTTATAATAAAAAATAATAATTAGATTGAGTGAATGACTCCATTTTTTTATCTGCATCACATGTTAATGTTTCATGTTAGGAATTGTTTAATTGAATTTGATGTTGGAGTTCAATATTCTAAATTTGATAATTGAATTATCATAAAATTATTATTATTATTATTTTAATAAGAGTAGCTACTTTTATTTAATAAAAAACACTTAGAATTATAATGAACGCTTATAATTATAATTATAATTATAATTATAAACTAAACATATAAATAAAATATTTTACTATAACCATTGACGTACGAAACTTAAGGCAATATAAGAAAAAGAATTAAAAATTTAACCAAAAAAATTCGAACAAAAATATATACAAATATATTTGACTATATAGATAAATTAATCATAAAAGATTATCAAAACTACGTGTATAATTATGTTTAATTATAAAAGATATTGTAATATCTCTGATTTTTTAATGTCGATTCCATTGACGAATGCATTAAATTTGTTAAAATTTCATTTACGTGTATTATATTTATTGATAAAATATTTAAAATCGTCTTCTATGTTTAATTATGTTGAAAGGTGCCTAAAACAATAAATTATAGGAGAATTAGCCTAAACTAGTTATGGTAATAAGAGTTTTAAGTTGGATTCCTTAATGGACTATTATGCCAAAATACGAGATAGTGGAAGATGGTGGGCCAAAGGCTTTGAAATCTACCCAAAGTGGTTAAAATGATATGTTTAAAACTCTTATTTAGTTTTTTTTGGATCTTATAATCTAGTCTTCCGATTGTTTGATTCTCAAATATGATTTCTCTCTCGTTGATATAAGTCTATTCACTTATGAGATCTTTTATTTAATATTTCAGTCACGGGAAATTCACCGCGACCATAAATAAACTTATTCTTCTCTAATCTTTCTTCCCCTTTCTCTCTACATCTCGATCCGACTATTGTTTTCTCTTAATCTAACTCTTACTTCTTGGGCTACGCTTGTTTAATGTTTCATATGGTAATTATTGCATATGGGGGCTACCAATGACTAGTGGCTGAAAGGGGTTGTTTGTTGGGAGATTTAACAAGTTTACGATCGAATTGTGAGTGATGTATGCAACGAGGGTGGATGCACTAAGCCCCTAAGAGAATATGCACATCCCATTATTTTA